CTGAAAAAAAGTAGAGGATCTATTATTTAAATTCAAAGATTTTGTTTTTATTTATTTAAAAAATTTTAAATATTATCTCCTCGAATGTACATAATTTAAGGATGTTTTGTACCTATTTTCAAAAGAGAATTTAATGAATTTAATTGAAAATTTAATGAATTTAATTGAGAATTTAATGAAAATTGTACAAAATGTCCTTACATATGTTTAGAATCTTCAGTACAATTTTTAAATCGATTCACTAAAGCGTTCACAAGTTATAAGGATTTTAATTTGCACCGAATTAACATATATTATATAATTATATAATTATATAGCTTATAGTTATATAATTTATATAGCTTATAGTTATATAACTTATATAGTTAAATATAAAATTTATTTTAATTTAAGTATATAAAACTTATATGCTTAAATTAATTTATTGTTTTATATATACGCAACAATCTATAATCTTCTTAGAGGAATTTAATAATTTTAAATTTTAACGATATTATAATCATATTTGAATATAGTTGTCATCTCAAGAATATATAATAATAAATATATGTAATAAATATATAATAAATAATAAATATATAATAAATATATATAATATATAATAAATAATAAATATATAATAAATATATATAATATATAATAAATAATAAATATATATAATTATTTAATTCTACTTTAGGAAAATTATATAATTTTTGATTTAAAAATGTTATTTTCCTAACATTGTTTCCTTTCCATTCAAGAAAATTAAATCTTAAGGATGTTTTGTACCTATTTTTAAAATATTGAGAATTTAACGAAAATTGTACAGAATGTCCTTATATATGTTTAGAATCATCAGTACAATTTTTTTAAATCGATTCACTAAAGCGTTCACAAGTTATAAAGATTTTAATTTGCACCGAATTAACATGTGTTCTTATGGGAAATGTATAACCACGTCAAATGACAAAAACACATGGAAATAATATTCAGAATTTGTTTAAAATTTGCAAAAATTTAGATACGGAGGAATTATTTGGTCAAATAATATTATACAGGTATTAACTGGTTAAAAAGATATTAAATATAATTCAATGAAGTTAGCCATGTATCTGTCACAGGGCGAAATTCTCTGCCAAAAATTAATCATTTCGATTAACAAAATTCGGAATATTTAAGTAAAAACGCAATAAATATTAAAAAATATCAAAATATCTCTGCTAAAAAACATCTCTGCATTGTAGCTAAGATCAAATTCTAATATTCCACACAATTTCTTACTCAAAATACACCAAAATACACCAAAATACTCAAAATACACCAAAAGTTTTTGCTGGATTTGTACATACAAAACATCCTTAATCTTTTAATTTACAGGCCTTAAAGTCCTGTAAATTTATTAAATAAAATAAAAGAAAATTTAATTCTCTATAAAATATATTTCTTCAGCATCTTTTAAATTATGTAACGTTCCATCTTATTGAAATTCAACTATAAAAATATATTTCCCGCTGTAAAAATTCAGCAGTCAATTTAAATTTCAATACTCCAATACAACTTTCCCCATTAATGTCATGTATGATTAGTCACCTTGTGTGTTCAATCTTTTAAATAAAAATATCATCCATCTCCGCGACACAATAAGAGATTACTTTTCTACCAACGTTCATATTAATTCGCAATATTCACAGTGCAATCGTGGAAGGCGGAAGCTAGTACAATCGACAATCGATAAAGCATAAGCGATTAGCTACCACGTGCTGAAATCAAGATCTATCTAAATGCAGATAGTATGCAGATTCCTATTGATAGAACCTGTATGAGCAGCCATAAACGTGACGGTACTAGAGTGCTTATGGAATAACACGATAAGTTTCTCTTGTTATTGGATATCTCGCCGTACACACGTACTTACACATAAACGTACACGCGTTGGAACGACGAAGATTGCGTAGCGCGATCAGAAAAGCAAGGGGTGACTCGGACCGATGATACGTGATTACGCAAATTCTGTAACATGCACGTTGCAACGAGACCGATGCACCTTTAAGGTCAACGTAGGGAGCGCGGATCTAAGTTACGATGGATGCACGATCTGGCACAATAGCGGCCGTACGTACACACTCAATATATACGTAGATACGCGATGTTCCTTATGGGAGCGAGTCGAGTATCTCGAAAGTGCCGACGATCACGAAAATCCTATTAGTAGCCGTCCAGTCGAGAGAGATCGAGTATCCGGCGCTCTCTCTTCTTCGTCATCGGTGTCGACAAAGCGCGGGCTTTCGCCGTATTATTCCCGTTACCGCTCCACGGAATTTATGCGACTGCTGATTTCAATAACTTCAAGCCTCGCGAAATGCGCTGGCGAGAAAATTTCGCCTGGAAAATCCATCCCATGAAAGCTGCTCTCATCCAGAAAAATTCGATATTTATAGGAGAAATTTAATGTTTAAAATTTAAATCATTTAATGTCGTTTATAAATTAATTTGCAATTAATCTGAATAAATAATCACATTGATAGACAAATATATCTGAAGAATTTATCTTTAAAGAATTTATCGATTTTAGAGTTTTATTAATTTAATTAAATAATTTAATTTTAAATTTAATTAAATAATTTTATTTTATTTAAATACATAGATCGGATAAATTATGTTTAAAATTTAAATCATTTAATATCGTTTATAAATTAATTTGTAATTAATCTGAGTAAATAATCAGATTGATAGACAAATATATCTGAACAATTTATCTTTAAAGAATTTATCGATTTTAGAGTTAATTTTATTAATTTAATTAAATAATTTAATTTTAAATTTAATTAAATAATTTTATTTTATTTAAATACATAAATTAAAATAATTTTCTGTTCAAATGTAAAATATAATATTTACCTTTCTCTGACGTATTTATGCTCGACTATATTAATCCTTTTTCCCAATCTTCTATTTTTCATTCGGAAAAAAACTGTGAAAATAAACGCAATCAAATCGAACCGATAAAGTCGACTGCCCTTTGATTGGCGAACCATCGTGCTCGTAGCTTCTTAATGAGTGGTTAGCTTAATTGCGAGTGGTAATGGAGTGGTGGGTAATGGGCGATGAGAGAGAGGGGGTCCGATAAAGGGCCAGGGGTGATGACGTGGTGCGACACAATTCAATTTAATAAACAGCAAGTAATAATTCCACGTCGTAAAAGCACGTGGGACACGCACATGAGGCAGACCAGCGCCGGGCGGCGTGCGCACGATACCAGGGTTAAAAGGTGATCGAGCTGCGCGCGTTGGTTTTAATTAAAACGGACCCCGCGCCGGATAAAGCGCGCGCACCTGCGTGCGTGGTAACTCTAAAATCGAAGGTATCTCCACAGGAAGTGCTTAAATTAACAAGTTTACCTTAATAAGAGTGATAATAAACGTATAAAAGTGAGATAGCGAAAAGCGAATTTCCAGGTTTGATCAAAATCTTGCGTTAAAGGCACAAAGGAACGCTTACGAAATGCTTCCAGAGTTTCGAATAGCTAATTTAAAACGCTAATTCTTTCGGAGTATATAAAGGAAAAAATAGAGGAGATACTATGTATAATTATATGAAAACAATATTTCGTGTATTTTATCTCGTTGCCGAAGAAATTCCGAAGCTTGCTCCTCTCCCTTCTTGACATATACAGGGTGAGGAAAAAGTATGGAAACCCCTAAATTTTTCGAAAACTATGCATTTTAGAAACAAATGTTTCAGACAAAAGTTGTAAGGTTTCAAGTAATACATTACGTAGCAATATCAGTATAACCTTGAATAGCACCGTCAAAGTCACATAAAAATCACTTTGAATTTTTTAAATGGAATTGTAGCTTGTTTCAAGAGCTTTCCAAAACACTATAATAAAGTATTCTTTCAGTGAGTACTTTTCAAGTTATAAGGCTCGAAATAATTTCTTAATTTTACATAAACCATAAACAATAAAATATTTTTTCTTCAAAACTATGTTTTTTCTTTACACCAATTGATTCCTTCACTTATCTTATGCATAAAAGTATGAAGGTGAGATAATAAAAAAATGAATATTTTATTAAATATTTTATGGTTTAGAAAAAATTAAGAAATTATTTCAAGCCTCATAACTCGAAAAGTACTCAATGAAAAACCACTTTAATATAGTATTTTGGAAAGCTTTTGAAACAAGCTATAAGAATGTGTAATAAAAAATAGGGGATTCCATTTAAAAAATTCAAACTGATTTTTATGTGATCTTGACGATGCTGTTCAAGCTCATATTGATTACTTGAAACCCTGCAACTTTTGTCTGAAACATTTCTTTCTAAAATGTATAATTTTCGAAAAATTTAAAGGTTTCCATACTTTTTCCTCACCCTGTATATAATTCCTATCTCTCTTTCTCGCTTTCATAGTTTGACTAATGGCATTGCTCTTAAATGCCGATGTTAATAATTACGACACTATGGAGTTATTAGGTATACACTTGGCAGTTCCTTTATCGCAGTTTCACTTGAAATTATTTCAGTGAATGGCGATAAAATCCGCGCGGGGTGAAATTACGGCGATGCGGTGCAAAGAATTGCGGGCGTACTTCATAAGGATTACGTGTACCACCTCGCGAGAGAGGCTCGGCCTTAGGTATAGCCCGAAGTCGACTATCACGATCGATGGCACGACGTGTACACACAGATAAGTAGTTACCGTAGCTAAGTCGTCAATTTATATCGTAACAGGACGCCCGCTGCGCACGAACTTTCGAATCGAGATAAAGAGGTGGCTTCGCTCGCGCGATCTGTAAGTCATTCGCGGGCTCACTATATTTGACGCTCTCGTTCTCTCGTGCGCAAGATCCTGAGAAGGCATCCTCTATCTTGCCGTCAAGATAGAGGATGTGATATCGGTAACAACGTAAGAAAAGCGTGAGTCGTGCCGTGATCCGGGAATGAACTATTGAAAGTGTCTTTTAATGTGTTACATCGAGATGAAATTATTACTCTTTATTCATAATTATCCTTTAT